TGGCCTCATCTCAAATGCCTCTGAACTCTGAACTGCCTGTCTAATCATACTCTTTTTCTTACGAGAGAGAGTGCTTGCTGCAACTCTCCCTCAGAGCCACGGGTCTACTTCCACTACTATGAACATCACTATAACTATCAATCTAGTTGGAACATGAGATCATCTTAATAATCTGAGTAACCTTGCTCAAGGGTTATACCAAGTCATTATCCTGTAGATGAATCTTCCCACTGGCTATGAGTCTCTCAACTCTATCCTTGAACAGATAATAATCTTCAATGACAGCCCAATATGTCTGTGGATAGGATAATATAGTGGATGATCTGTCTTTCCCTCTTCTTCTTCCCTATTATTTGTTGGGAATGTCAAAATATTTTTTAAATAAGGAATTTAAATATCTTCTTCACACTTTCTCTCTTAAAGGAGTATTCCTTGCTAAGCTTCTCCTGAAGGTACTGCTGACTTTTTGGAGTCTTATAGGAGGGTCTAGATTGTGCTGTTGACTGCCTAGGTGTTTATGACGGCTACTATAGTCTTGAACTAATCATGGGTTTCGTGTCCTTATCTTGTGGCTCAAAAGTCATTGTAGGGTATATTTGTTCAGTTTCTGTCCTTGAATTTCTTTTGAATGTTCAGTTATTTTTCTCATAATTATGATGATTTTGAAAAAAAATAGAATTATGAAATTTGTTCAAGATTAATTTTCACTTTGGAAAATTCTTATAAAATTGTGAAAAACATCGACCATACATTCAAATTTGATCAAGATAAATTAAAAAAATATTAAAGTCTATTTAGGCTTTATTTGGGACAACTTTCTTATTATTGTTACGAAACTAAAAAGTCTCCCCAAACGAAGCCTTATCACATAGAATTTTCTTATTTTAAATGATAGTTATCGGAGTACTATTGTACTGGAAATGTGAATGCAAATATGTATGTGTTGATGCTTATTATGATGATGATTTCAATATGAAGATTCTCTACCAGTCCTTTACTTTTATTTGAAATTTTAAAAGTTGATGCTTTCTCTTTGCTTTTGGGGTTGACAGAGTGCATGCGAGATAATTCTGAAAAAAGTATTGTTTCTTTATGTTATTCTTTCCTGTTGCTTCCAGTTAGTTTCTTGTAAGATAGTTTTAACTTTGAAAGATTCAAAAAATCATCGAGCAAAGTATATCAAAAACTCTAACTAATAGTTCTATTTCAATATTTTGAGGCTAATTACAGGAAATCAATACACAGAGATTCTGCATTCTTGACTCATTTGTTTCTTTTAAATTTATTAGTTATTAAATATAATTAAATATTAATATTTATAATTGTTCAGGTCCTCAACATCACCTGGGTCTTCCTTATCGGTTAGGGAAACAATTAGATATGAGTGAGAGACATCACGAACATTGGTATGAGTAAATTGATTCTCCTCAATATAACCCAAGTATTTATGGGTTTGAGGCTTATCAATTCGACAAATGCTGGCTTACTATAAAGCTCATTCATCAGACCAAGTTGAAGGAACGACACCTCGCTCAATACAACTATCTATAAAAGGGAAAAATAATGAGGGACATGTGTGACTCTATTATTAATAGCAGTCTCCGCATGACTCTGACTCTCAAGAACTAGTGGCGCACCTACGCTATGGGATAATGAGGCACACTCACTAGACCGTAGTGGCACAAAGAATTTGTGCAGTGTAGGCATATAGCGATTGTTAGTCTGTAGTGGGCCATAATCAATAGGTGAGGGAGCAACAGAAGATCATTGATGAGATTCCTCAACCTTTATCCCACATATATGATGGAAAAGAGATTGTTGGCTAGTAGTCCGACATCAAATGTCTACCTCCTTGTCTGAGCTAATACTAATAACTAAGCCACCCTTATATATCATGTACATACGAAAGATAGGGATCGAACTATAATCAGTAAAACTTAGGGCTGGTGAGGGAATTGAATAATGAGGAATGTTAATCATCTTATCATTAAAAGAGTCGGACTCGTCGGTCAAAGAGGAAGTATAAAGACGTGAGGGAAGAGGAATTTGAGTTTCAAAGTTTCTCGCGGGGCAAGACGACTCTCTATCTCTACATCGCTATCCCCTACCTCTACTAGGGGGAACATCATGTCTAACAGTAAATTGAAAGGAAGATCCAATAGGATCTACAGTGTAAACATCTACCTCAATACTAACATGTGATGGATCCTCTATCAGTGGTTGTATAGGGCCCTATGTAAGTGACTATATAGGAACATGTACAATATTAGTAGGTATCACTAATGACTGGGTAGTAGGTCTACGAGCCTTTTGAGGTATAAAATGCTCGACATCATCATAGATAGAGACCTCGTGCATGGAAAAAGGTTAAGTATCCCCAGAAATGAAATATTCCTTATCATTTCTCAAATACTTCATGCATTGGTGCAAGGTAGAGGGTACCATTCAATATTTATGAATCTAAGGTATTCCTAAAAGAGCCTTATATGAGGTAACTACTTTAATAACATGAACTTTACCTCAGTCAGGAAACCTCCAAACTTCAAAGGCAAGATAATATACCTTAGAGCATGCTGACCTTAGTCATTAAAGTCTTTCAACATAATTTTATCGGAGGTAAGCTTTAGATGATATAGAGAGAGAGTCTCTTTAAAGTTTCATAACTCAAGATGATGTATGAAACTCCCTGGTTAATGAGGACCATGTTCAACTCATAACCATTAACTTCAATGGTGACATATAATGGATAATTATACTCAAAAGTCCCTAAGAGAAGATCTATATCTAAAAAGGTAATACATGACATCTCTCTCAAATAGCATACATCCCTAACAGATTCAGAAGCAAAGAAAGCTTGATAAGATTTTAGCTCCAACAGTGCTTTTACCAGAGTCTCTCTCAAGTCAGAAGATATCATAAGAGCATTGTAGATATTAAGAAGGGAATAAATTTTGTTTAGGTGAGTAAACATATTGTGATCAATCTCCAACTAAGGGCCTTTTACTTTCTCCATAGACTACTCTTAGGAAGAAGGAATATGATCATCATGCTGGATAATAATAGTTTAATCTTTTTCTTTTGTGTTTTTAGTCATCCTAGGTAGAAGGACTTTTCCTGAATGCAAGTGAACTTCTTGTATTGAGTCAACCCCAACAGGAGATTCATTTGGCTCAGTGGTGATGACTTTGTGTTGGCTCTAAGGAAAATGACACGAGTGGATGCTTGGACTCATCTCCTGAATCAATGTAATAACCACCCTCTAGAATGGTAAATACAAACTCTTCCTCACACTCATACTTATCATCACATGAAGAATCATTAACATTACTAACAATATGCAACTCATGAGAAGAACGAGTTTTAAAAAAAGTAGAGCTAAAATAAATAAAAGATCAAAGTAGTCAGAATAATCTTATTTCATTAATTCATCATCAGTCAAAGGAAAAACTAAATCCTTCAACTTAAGTGCTGGAAGGGGCCTTGTCTTCCTCTCTGAAGTTATAATAATTTTTCTCTTTCATACTTTTTTTTATTACATAAAGAAAAAAGAAATTTGCTCAATAGGCACTACAACATAAGAAGGAAAAGAAACTGACAAAGTAACTGGGCTGGCAACTATCGACTTAGCCTGAAAAGGCCTCCTCTCAACTACCTCTGAACTCTGAATTGTATATCTAATTATACTCTTTATCTTACGAGAGAGTGTCATCTTCCACTCTCCCTTAGAACCATAAGGTGATCTACTGCCACTGCTCTGATTATAACTCTGACTGTCAATATGGCTTAAACCTAAGATCATCTGAACAATCTGTGTAACCTTGCCTTGGGGCTGTACTGAGTCACTATCATATAGGTGGATCTTCCCATTGGTCATGAGTTTCTCAACTCTATCCTTGAACACATAATAGTTTTTAATGTTGACATGTCTAATATGTCTATAGAATGGACAATAGAATGGATAATATGTTTATATCTTTTCTTCCACATTATTATTCGTTGAGAATGTCAAAATATTCTTCTTACAAAGAATTTAAATATCTTCTTCACACTTTCCCTTTTAAAGGGGTATTAATTCCTAAGCCTCTCATGAATGTACTAATAACTCTCTAGAGTCCTATGGGAGGGTCTAGGCTGTACTGCTGACTACCCAAGTGTGTATGACTGGTGCTATGGTGCTGAACTAACCATGGGCTTCTTGCCCTTATCTTGTGAATCAAAAGTCATTGTAGGGTTTATTTATTCAATTTTTGTCCTTGAATTTCTTTTGAATGTTTGGTTATTTTTCTCATAACTATGATGAATTTTAAAAAAATAGAATTATAAAATTTGATCAAGATAAATTTTTTTACTTTGGAAAATTCTTATAAAATTGTGAAAAATACTAATCAAACATTCAAATTCGATCAAGAGAAAATTCTTATGAAATTGTGTACTTATGCTTCATTTGGGAAGACTTTCTTACTGTTGTTACGAAACTAGAAAGCTGCCCCAAACGAAGCCTTGTCACTTAGAATATTCTCATTTAAAATTGATAGTTGTTGGAGTACTATTATTCTGGAAACATAAATGCATTTATGTATGTGTTGATGCTTATTATGTTGATGATTTTAATAAAAAGGTGGCCTTGTACTTATGAAGGGTAGTATGCTTCTAAGACTAATGCATGCTATATAAAATCTTCAAATCAAGAATGCATGAAATTTTAAAAAGGCTTACAAAATAATTTTTAAGAAGACTAGACTTTTTCATATTCAGCACCTCATTTTCATAGGTTGGATTATCTGAACTCTACCCCCAGGTGGGGAAGTGTTTAAAAATGAAAAGAAATGAATGCAATAATATGCATGCGACTTCGGACAACCTCTGGCTTATTCCCTAAATCGCCATCTTTCTATATTATTTAATTCTTAAAATTTTAATTTTTTAAGTATGAGTAAAAAAGTTTTATCCCTAAAGAATCTAACAAAATCAGACATATATATATATGCAAGAAAGAAATCTATAAAAACATGATATTACTATTATACAAGCAAAGTAAATACATTAATAAAAAATTAATCATAGTAAAAAGAGTATACAAAAGTCCATGGTAAGTGTCATATAATATACAACTCAGGGTCTGCAGAAAGTAATGGTGATCAAGCTCCATCAACAATAACATAAATTCTAATTCTACAGAACGATGCAAGTCTTAAAAATAATGCATTTTTTCATCTTGATCTTCATCTTTTGGCTCCTCTATTGATCTCCTTTCTTTAACCTCCTCGTAGTACATCCTCTAGAAGGATATCCAAATGAAAAGAAATTTCTCGTAAGGGGCTTTCTTTTTCCTTTACATCCCTTATATTTAAAATGCCTTAAAAATGTCTTATTTTTAGATTTTCATCTTTATAATTTGAATAAAATTATATCAATAATATAAAAGAAAAATTCTAAAATATCTTGCAAGATTATCCTAAACAGTTATAACAAAAATATTCCAAGCAATTATATATAAAAATGAAAGTACTCAAGCCAGTCATACTTGATCATACTCTTATTTATTTAGGGGCTAAGCAGCTGAAGCACATGTAGTAATTATATATAATTTATTTATTTTTAGTCCCCTTTTTTGCATTGTATGAGCATGATCACCTACAAAAAATATCATAAATATCAAAATCGTTCTTAACCTATTTGTAATTTATCTTCCATCACATTATAGAGATAATACAGTAATTAAAAGCATCATCACAATAATTATCACAGAAAGTCAAAATAACTAGCACACAAGTCACATACAAGTCGCCAATCACATAAATAGAAAGAAAGAAATAGCGACCTAACTTAAGGCTATAAGTATTATCCTAAATAATAATTCTATGTGTGTGTAGAAAGCTGTGTGGTCTCGGGTATGTCTTTTGTTGGGTAATTGGTTTAAGTTATTTTTGATTTGATTTGTTAAAGATCAAGGGGAAATTTTAATTGAAGTTTAAATATTTGTGTCTTGAGATCAATTTTAATTAATTGGTTGGCTAGTTTTAATTCTTGGGAAAATATTATTTAAAATTTAAGTTGAATTACCAAATTTTTAAATGTCTAGGTCATCCTATCTGCTAGATCAAATGAGTCTGAAGTTGACTTTTATAAACAAACTAAGTTTTAGAGTCCTAATATTTTTATTAAATATTAAACCCTATTGAGAGTAATTAGACTTTGAGTTTATTGGATTTAGAATTTTCTACCGAAAGTTATGATTTTTATTTAGACATAATTATTTAACTACAGTTAACCGAGGAGTTGACTTTTTTATTTAGGCGTATTTCTAAAATAATCATATTTTTAGTAAGTTTTAGATTTTAATTGGAGTTGAATTCCATTTAATTTACTCAATTTGAATTTTTCTAGAATTGTTTATGATTTTTCCAATTTTGGGTATTTAATGAATTATTAAAATTGCTTAATTAAGTGTATTTTAGGAAATTTTATTTAAATGAAGCCCAAATCTCTTTGGATCACCTCCAAAGGTTAGGAATGACCTAAGAAAGTATTTTCAAATGTTTGGAAAATTCTTAGAATTTTTAATTTATTAATTTAATTAAAAGGTAATTTTTCATTAGAATTAAATTAATTTTCAAATTAAGTTCCAATAAAGGGGATATTAATTTTATTAGATTAATAATTCAATTATAAAGAATTTCATATATTATTTATAATTTTTGGATTTAATTTGAATTTATTAGATTTGTTTTGAAAATTTTGAGGTTTAATTAAAGTGGTAAATTAGGGTTAATTAATTAAGTGACTTATTTTCTTGGAGGT